AACTTTAGAAAAGCGTAGCAAATTTCTTTAGAACTGCGTACTGCCTTAAGGAAAATTCACACATGAAAATTTCTTAGCCATTTCTTGTACGTTTCTTCTATTTCTTCTAATTTCTATTTGCACTATACATTTTTTGAATGAAAACGCGGTTCGGCTGTGGGAGTTTTAGCTCCAATGTGAACTATGTTATGATTCGCTTTTAGAAGGTGAACCGATTTCTCTTTGTATGGAGCGTGAGGCAGTCTAATGTATGTATAGTACATACATATTTTTACACATTTGTGTAATTAGGAAGGTATGAGCAAATGTTTTTCATTTGACGTCATCACCGCTGGTAGTAGTATTTTCTGATATGTGCTTATATGTATGTATGTATATTTAGTTGTTTTTCCCAATTTAATGACATGCAGGCATATGCATGCATATATGTGCATATGCATGTGTGTATGAACAATTGTGTAGATAAGTTTGATTGCATTCGACTGCGTTGTAAGTTTAAACAAGTGCCACCTATCCAAAGCAAAACGAATACTAGACAATGAAATGTAGTAGATAAGTGAAACGCCCCCATTTTTGAAATCGTATAGTGAAATGCATCTGTGTGTATGTATGTAGATAGTGCTTGCATACATATGTACATCTACGGTCAAAATAATAGCAGTGTGACATTTTGGCCATTTTTGTATATATAAATCCACATTTCAAACTTTGTATAAAAATTTGACCAAAATTTTAAACTTTTTATTCAGAATTTTTATTTGTTTTTGCTACTTTTCGGCCTAATACACAAATGATGTTCAACAATTTTATTGAGCTTTACAAATGGTAGAAGCACTCAGAAAAAAAAAATTCCATGCTGCTGGGAAAAAAGTATATTATTCTGAGGAAATATTACCTTGAAATGGCTCCAAAGACATGGCTGACTTAATATGAGTAAACGATTGGACTCAGTTTAAGGAAAAACACAATTACTTAGTTTTCAATACTATTTTCTTTCTTCTTAGGAAAAATTAACTTGCCGTGAAAAGAATAGTATGCCATTTTGCTCACGGCGCTTAAACAGTTACAATGGCCGACAGAGCAAAGCTCTGGAGTGCTAGTCGAGAGATGCAAGGTTCGAGTCCCAAAAGGAAAATATTCAAAACCGGTCAAAATGTCGCACTACTATTATTTTGTCCGTAGGTGTATCGAGCGAAGCGTATGCTGGTTTACAATAGCTTGACTTGTTTTCGCTTCAGTTGCCATTTTAAGTGACAGTAGTTCGGCTGTGAAGTTTCAATAATTTTTAAATACCTTAGTTACTTACATACATATTTAGCTCAAGTGTCTAAAACTTTAACAATTCCATAAGAACCGCAGCAGCATATTTGTTAAAAAAAAAGATTACAACAACCATACCTGTTAAAGAGTTTTAACTCAAAACCAGTGAGTTTTCGAAATACAAATCGCGCGTTTGCTGTCAGCACGCTATACTATTAAAAAACAACTGGTCTGAAAAAACGTCATGTTGACAACAATTTGGTGAATACCGCTATTGTAAACTGGTTCGAGATCATTAATATAAAAATCATTCTATACATACACTTGTGATCAGCCGATTAAGTTATCAACATTTTGATCGATTTTGGCTGTTTTTCTTTTGTTTATTTAATGTTTATTATTTTTACATAAAAGCCTAGCTCATTATAGCCTAACACAATATAAATCCACATTTCAAACTTTGTGCAAAAATTATAAAAAATCTGCAAAGTTTCAGCTAGATTTTCAAGTTTTTATTCAGATTTTTTAGATTTTTTTTAGTATGCAGTTTGATAGCTCACTAAATTTAAGGGTAATAATGTGCAAGTTTTAAGTTGCTAAAGAATCGCGTTGATTTTTAATATTTTTTTTTCTTGTAGACATTTGGTTAGGTGGTCGGTTGTAGAAAATACTAAATTACGTTCTGTTACTTCTATAGTGCTTTTGCGAGCGTGCGTGTTGCAATAGATCAGATCTTCCTGATTTGGCTTTTAATATGTAATTGCAAATATTGTAATAAGCCTTGTAACCTCAAGTGTTTACACAATCAACCTTTGAACGCGGGATCCTTAGTCCAAGAATCAAAGAAAAAAAAAATGCGCGTACGCTTGGTTTGCATCATATTTAAGTCATATGTGTCCAAAGAATAAATATCTCTTGAGGCACCTGCTGCAAAAAACAAAGCTTGTAAAGATTTATTAAGAAAATAATTCAAAATCAGTTCTACTTACAAGGTTTAGTAACAAATTTGCCGAAAGTGTGAGCGGAAGTACTTACTCTACAAGCAAATAGTACGCTATACATTGAATATATTGTGCGTAGAGAACAATTACTGGGAAGTTAAAAAAACGTAATTTTTACACAAAAAACGTCCAAACGTCGACAGGATACAAAAATCGTCCAAATGACGTTAAAAACGTCAACCTGGCAACGCCGGTGGACATCTGCACATAAACCTGAAGCAACTAAAGGAGTATTGAAAAAAATTTAACCGCATTTTGTAATGATGACAATATGAAGTCACAACAACAAAATAATATTCTCAAATATACTTTACCTACGCAGAAACAATAAAAAAATATATATAACAATAGGCTCATTTAATCAATTGCTCTTTTTCATTTAAGTATTTTGAACCTGTGGAAGAAATAAGTCTAACAGCCGCACTCAGAAACGTTTCTTAAATTAGCTCAAACCGGCACTTAACTAATGATCGTTAAATCTGTTAATTAATGTTAGAGTTAAAAATTATGAAATACAAAATTTAAGTATGGCCCCAGTTGCGGCCCTTTATTTTTGTGGCATTACTCACTTTTTTACATGTGTCAAGTTAGCACTACACTTTTCGAATTTGGAAAAGTTAACTAC